GGTTGCCAAGGATTGGCTCGTGCATCCAGCCTCACTGTCGGCTCCTTGGCCCTCCTGGGGCAGGTTCTTTGCATCTCTAGTCTGCCAAGTCATACTCTTCCCCACTCCATGGGGACACGGAGGGTTGATGAGGCTCTGTGCCTTGGGGAGAGCAGGTACTTCTTATGTCCTGTGGGACCAATCTGAGCACCTCCTCACTGTGCCTCTCTCCTGACTTCTTATCAGTGGCGTGCTGCTCTGGCTAGGGTCACCTCTGTCCCTTTACTGAGAGCCTTTTAAATGCTCAGCACAGCCCATCAGGGATGCAGGTTCCTCCAGGATCATCCTTCAAGACTCGGTGTTTATGGTTTTGGGGCCTTACTGTCTCTGTCGCCCCTACTCGGCTCTTCCGTAGACGGAAACAACCTTAGACAATGTGGTCAGCATGGCTGTGTCCCAGGAAAACCTTATTTACCAGAACAGGCAGCAGGCAGTAGTGTGCCGACCCCCAGATTTGAAAACTTAATCTGTGACTCAAGCTAATCCTTCTCCAGCCAGCACACGTTGGAACAGCATGGCCTCTGGTCTTCATCAAGGTGCTCCACTATTGCCCTGCCTCAGTTTCTCCCTTTTTGATAGAGCCTGGCAGTTCCTCTCCTTGACATTTTGCGAGTCATTTGCTAGGACTGTGAGCAGAGAGGGTCTGTGCAACCCTTGTGAAGGAGGCACTCAGTTTTTGGAGGACAAGTAAACTTTGTAGACCTGGGGAGAGAGGTGGGAGAAGGTGCAGAGTATCATTGGGTTTCATCTTGAACTTTATTGGGCCTAATGTCATGTTCCCAGGATTGGATTGGAGCCAAGGGGACAAATATTTGGTTGCAGACCTAGTCGAACAATTTTAGAGGCAGCACAAGTGCTTGGTGACTGCGGAGGTGTGCAGCAGCTTCTGTAGGGCTGGGCCCGTGGAAGGGACAACAGGGGGCCCCTGGGGCACCTTTTAGAGCCCAGGTTTCCCCATCAGGTGCCAACAGCCCCAGAGGTGATGTCCTTGTACTGGCCAGGGGTGCTGCAGCCCCAGCGTCTCCATGGGACCGGAGCTCCCTAGACATGGCCAGTGTCTGGCTGTGCCTCCTTCCCTCAAGTTAAAAGGAAGCTGACCTCACCTGCCTGAGCTTGAGAGGATAAAATGGCAACAAAGGACTTCTGTTGCCCAAAGTGCAGTGACTTTATTTCATGTAAATCATCATAGCTACCTTCTCTCCAAGTGTGATCTTCCCTCAGAATGGAGAGTCATAGGGTCATGGGGATGGGTGGGGGGGTGGGGGTGTGTGTGTGTGTGGCGGGGGGGGGGGGTACCAGGTGCAGGGTCAAAGCCAAACCATAATGATTTATCAAGGGAGCAGAAGAGTCTCTCATGAGTTGGTAATTGTGTACTTAAGGGTTACTTGATACTGTTTTAAATGTATGGGTTGGAAATAAAAACAGTGAAAGCTCTCTGAACCCAGCCAATGTGGGGTGGATGGCAAAGCAGTCCAAATGATAGATCAGTGAAAAGCGATTACAATTCATTTTCAGGACATGCTGTTAGTTCTGATAATGCTAAGTGATCTGTGCTTGGTTGCAGCTCCTTTGTGAATCTGTACTGATTATATTGAGGGGCTGTTGCTGTGGCTCCTCAGATTGGTGCCTTCTCCTTCAGTGTTAAACCTTTCCTGCTCGTTCATTCAATAAATATTAATTGAGCACCAGTTACGTGTCAGACACTGTTCTGGGTGCTTGAAATAAAATCAGGCGTCAGGCAGACAGACACCCCTGCCCTTGTGGCATTTACATTATTGCTAGGTGAGAAAGTCCTTAGACGACACAGTAGCCATGTTGTGTACCCCGTGGGCGGGGACTGGTTCTGTGGAAGAGGAGGATCAGGGTAGGGGTGTGGACGGTGGACAGTGGGTAGGGTGGGCCTCTGCAAGGGAGACATTTGAGCAAAGATGAGGATGTGTGGCGCAGGGAGCAGCTAGTGCAGACACCCTAGCAGCTACCATTAGGGCAGACCAGTGTGCAGACATTGCTGATAAATTCTGTGGAGCCGAATATGGGCTGGGCATTTGTTGGCAATAAGGGATTATTAAGTTTTCAGGTGTCAGTAGTTACTTTTTAAAGGTCATTTTCAATTCGGGATGCAGATTGAAGAATTGATTGCTGAAATGACATAGTAGCTGGGATTTCATCTAAAACATTGAAAGGCTCCGAAGTGGGAGGGTTCCTGGTGTGTTGGAGGTGTGGCTAGGGAGCGTGTTTGGCTGGAACAGAGTGAGCAGGCAGACAGGTGGGGGCTGGGGTGGGAGGGCTCCAGGAGGGCCTCTGGGGCCGGGAGAGTACAGGGCTTCCCTCTGAGTGAACTTTGAGCAAGAACTGAAAGCAGGGAGTATAGTTTGGAAGCCTCTGTACCAGCAGAGAGGACAGTGTGGCATGTGGAGGTGTGAAGAGTGGTTGGACTCTGATATTTGGTGACAGAACCACCAGGCTTTCCTGATGGATGGATGGATGGTTGGTTGGATGGTGGGAGGAGTCCGTCCCAGAGGGTAACTCCAGATTTCAATCCAAGTGACTGCAAGAATGAATTTGCCCCAAGCTAGACTAGAAAGTTGTGGTAGAGTGCAGAAGTCTGAGGTTACCTTAAAACAGCTTGCCGATTGCGCGGTACACCCGATGCACTGCATGTGCTGTGATCTGATCTTCCTCCGTGCAGGGGTACTTTACCCCTCCAGGAAGATGCTGTCTCATGTGTGTTGTGGCCACACAGAGTAGGGTACTTGGATCTCTGTCGAATATTAGTCCACGTATGCGTGGATGTATTCTGATTGTCGGTCTACTTGTGTGTCTTTGTGTCCATATCATGTTGTCTTGTGGTAGCTTTATGCTAAGTCTCCAATTCAGGTAGGGTATGTCCTCCAAGTTTGTTCCTGTTTTTCAGCGTCGTTTTCATTATTGTGGCTCCTTTGCCTTTCCACGTAAGTTTTAGAATCAGCTTGTCATTTCTATAAAAACATCTCCTGGGAATTTTTGATTGAGATTGCATTGAACCTGTAGATCAATTTGGGAGAGAATTGATAACCTTCTGACCCATGAACAAGGCATATCTGTTCATTTATGTAGATTTTCTTTCATTTTTGGGGGCGATGTTTTATTGTAGTTTTTTTATCCTCGAGTATTTCACATTTTTTATGTGACTGTAAATGGATTTTTTTTTTTTTAAAGGTTTTGAGTTCTGGTTGTTTGTTGGTAGTGTATAGAAACATGGCTAACTTTTATGTATTGGCCATGACCCTGCTGCAGAGCAGCACAGGACATCTGCTGCTGAGGCTTCCCACCTCTGGGGCACAGGGGCCTCAGCTCAGCAGGTATGAATGAATTAGGATTAACACCACCCCACTGTTGGATTTCCCAGCCCGAATGGGGCCCAAAAAAGCGGCAGAAAGGGTCCTTCCTGAGGAGTTGGCCCTGGCAGTGGCCACAGCCAGCCCTGGGCTCATTTAGGAGGGTACCATGTAGTTCACTGGTATTGGCTCCCATCCTTATTTTGCAAGTTCTCCTGTGGGAGTGTTTCTCACCATCCGTGAGCTGTGAATTGCTGTGAACCCAGTTTAAAAATAAAGGTTTCATATCAGAGCAAGCTCCTGGTAGTCATGTGGGTGCAAAGAATGACAACAGAGGTGATGTTGACACTATTTGGCAAGCTACAACTGACAGAACTGCCTGGGAGTCTGGGATTTGGCTTGTTCAGTAGGTTCAGCCTCTGGACGTCTGACGTCACAAATCAGGAGTAGAAGTCATGGGGCCTCTCTCTCTGTGACCTTGGGAGAGTGTCTGAACTTTCTTGAGCCTTAGTTCTTCTGTCTGTAAAACAGGCAACCCCTTCCTCCCTGGACAGCGTAAGCCCCATGGAGATGACCTCTGGGGTAGGAGGCAAAGCCACCTCCATTGGGGGTGGGGGTGGTGTAGCCCACAAGTTCCTGGGCACATCATGCCCTCATCTTTCTCGAGGGACAACTCAGTACTGCCTGGAATTGTGGGTGGTTTCCCTGGGGTCCATGCCAGAAAATGTGGTGGTGAAGAGGTCGTGTTTGAAGAGTGAGACCTGGGTGAGCCATGGGCACCACCTGCCTGCTCTGTGACCTGGGCAAGTTCCTGAATGCTGGACTCATCAGATCTCTTTATCTGTAAAGTGGGCATGATCCAGTACCCACCCCTAAGGTGGTCTTGGGGATTCAAAGAGATGCTGTGTTTGAGCAGAGTACCTGGAACATGCTACTAACTAAGCACCTATTAAATGCTAGGTATTAGTATTTCTGTTTTTAATGTCATTAATACTCTCATAAAAACTTTGAACCATTTATCTGTGTGTTCAGTATATGAAAGATAAAAATAATTTTAGGCTGGGTGAGGTGGTTCATGACTATAATCCCAGCACTTTGGGAGGCTGAGGCAGGAGGATGGCTTGAGGCCAGGAGTTCGAGACCAGCCTGGGCAATATAGCAAGACCCTGTCTCTACAAACAACAACAAAAAACCCAATTTGCTGGACTTGGGGGCACATGCCTATAGACCTTGCCGCTTAGGAGGCTGAGGCGGGAGGATTGCTTGAGCCCAGGAGTTCAAGGTTACAGTGAGCTATAATTGTGCTACTTCACTCCAGCCTGGGTGAGGCTCTTAAAAAAAAAAAAAAAAAATTGTTTCAGCATGGGGCTGCTTAATGCCTTCATGTGTTTGTCAGTACTGGTGAAGTCAGTGTCTGGAATGTTGGCATTTATTGGTTAGCACTGTATCAGTTCATACCACAGAGATTGGCAGAAATTTATTTTCTCCACTTGCCCCTGTTGCAGAAGGTAGCAGGGGCAAAGCTCTGGTGGAAATGTGACATTTTGCTGTGTAATTCCCCCTCAGAGACATTTAAAACTGCCAGTGTGTTCCAGAAACCTTCCTTGGAAACTCAGTGTTTCTTTCTCTGTTCTTCACTTTTAGGTTGATCAGTACGTTGACGCAAGTTGCCTTTTGACATTGCTGCAGCTATGGCCGACTGGTAGGACCAGCATCCTGTACCCCAAAGCCAGGTGAGTGCTTGGGGTCTGGTATCTGTGGAGTGAAGGCTCTGACTTGTTCAGTGGGCCTCTATCAGCTCCTTGGACACTTTAAACTGAGTGCCACTTCAGAATTTGACAGCCACCTCCTAGAGAAGATGGAGCGAGGTGGGTCCCCCTGGGATTGCAGGCCATGCCGTCTCTGTAGGGCTGCCCCGGCCCTTCTCCTCGAGTCTCAGGGGTAAAGAAATCATTCTTATTTGCCACTCATTTGAGAAGCCCAGGCCTAAATAGGATGAGTTCATCCTCTGTGAGGATCAGAGGCAGAGGATAATCCTGGCTGGGTGGCCTTTGACCTCTGGCCGTTCCCATGATTTCCCAACACTGACCTACATGATTAGAATTTTTCCTTAATCACCGTACAGTGCAGGCCCCTGCAGTGGTACTTGGAGCTGGTTGCCCTTACCCTGCCCCAGGCCACATGGGGAGGAAGCTGAGCTGGCACAGAGCTCTTAAGTGGAGACTGCGAATGGCTGTCTGAACCCAGCAGGGCATTGTGGGATTCTCTTTGCTACCATCAGGGCCCAGTCAACAACATTTTGGCCCTAGAGAAGAATGTCGAACTGAGAGATATCTTAGAACTCGGAGGCAGCTTGGAGACCTCCTGAGTCAACTGCTTCCTTTCGCAGACTGAGACACGCCCGGCCCGGAGTTAGCAGGTGACTTGCCGACGGGTCCACCCCCCATCTAGCAGCATCCCGCCGACTGCACAGTGTGAGATTCAGCCACTTTGACTTGCCCACTGTGCTGAATGTGGCAAGAACATGTGGACATGTCAAGTGATTCTGATGTCAGGAAAACATTTCCACAATGTCTTCCTAACAAAACCAAACTTCCCTGGTGCTTAAAAAAACTTTTTTAAAAAAAAAAAAAAATTGAG